AGTGTGTTTGTCTTCGGTGACCCGGTGGGGCGACTCTTCGGCACCCCGGGGGGGCGGTAAGAACGTAAAGCCCATGACGCTTCCTGACCTCCGAGCTGAGCCGGAAGGGAGTTCTCGAGTAAAGGAAACCAAAAGAAATGCATGGTTTTTCTATTGATTATTCCAACTATTTGCCTGCCTATCGAACCAGCAAGTTAAAGCGGCTATATGCGGCCGCTGTGTGAGTGGAGCTGCGTTCATTACTATTGGGCCAGACCCCATGCTTCCTAGGTCCAGGGTCTTGCTTGCTTTTGGAATTTTGTGGAATGCTTGGATTGGATGAATGATCACCAATGTGCATGGGATGGTTTGGGTTTATTCCCGGGCCTTGTCGAAGAGAAACAAGTTTTGCCGCATCCCCATCTCTAAGTACTGCATGGAAGATGCCCCAGACATTTTTCCTGGAAGATAAATATTCTAGCTTCACGCCGCGATTAGTTGTTTTCTCTCATTGGGAGGGTGCAGGCGCTGCTGCCACTGAGGACCACCCTGGCGTGTTTACCGAACGGGAGTGCCTCGGCTGACTTCCTACGCTTGACATTCTCAAGGATTTATTTCTCTTTCGCCCGCAGTTTCTATTCAGACTTCGCTGTTCTGGACCTCAACCGTGGTTGTGCTGATTCTTTATGCTTCGTGGCATGTTGTGTTGTTTTTTGGTTGTTTTGGTTCTATTCATTTGTAGTGAGGGGTTTCAAGAAACAGTGTGCTTCATGCCAAGCATTGGAACGACAACATCGCAGAGCCATGGCAAGAGGAGCCATTTCGGAAATGAGCGAGTATTGGTGACGAGTTTTGGGCCATGAACGAAACATGGGTCATAAACTTCCCATGGATCCTCGAAAAGGCTGGTGATGGGGCGTGCTTCGAGTGAACTCTTCTATGAGCCAAGCCCTCAACAAGTCCAGGGATCAAAGGATTTATCCCCACTTCTGTGATACACGGGGAATCTCCTCCTTATGCAAGCGATAGTCTCGTTTTTTTGTCTTATCACAGAAGTGGATCCATTTCCCACAACCCTGATTCCCAGTAAAGCCTTGCTTCAACCAGCCCACAGGCATGCCGATGATCCCCCCTCACCTTTTCGACTCCGTCTTGTGGCGACGGATTTCCTCGAAAGGGAACCTCGTCGGGCTTCAGCCATGGACGCCATTCCCCACCCCCTTCATGTTCTGCAAGTACGACCCTAAGAAACCTGAAAGGCTGACTCGATCGGGGTAGAATTGCCGTCAACCTCCCTCTTTTGCCCCAACTCGTTTGGGCATTGACTGCCATCCCGCCTCTGCAGTCCTTGTGCCTTTCCAGGCAGCGACTTTGGGCTGGCGTTCGGTGAATGGATAAGCAGCTGTCTAGACATATCAGTTTAAACATCACCTTGTCATCATGTTTCGAGCTTGCTTGGCTTCAGTTTTGAGGTGATATTTCTATTTTGGGAGACCCACACATGACCTAAAAGATAGGAATGCCACAACACGGCGTTTCCCCAAACATACTTCCTTTGCACGTGAGGCATGATGTGAGCTTCATGTGTACCAACCTATCCACCCTTTACAATCACACCGTGTTTGGGTTCCCCACCAAAAGTTGTTTCCCTTTTGGTTTGGCTTCCCGCTGCCATTTGCAATCACAACAAACCACGCATATTGGTTGCACCCTCAAGGTCCTGTTTCTTTGGTTCCCCGCATGGAATCGGCCCACCAAGATTGAACAGGCTCCTTTGGATTCCCCCACTCAGGTTGCCATACACCCTCTTTGGAAGCCAACGGCCAAGAATTGATCCCGGTGTCAAGTATGGTTCCCCTGCCAAAGGGAAAAAACGGCTCAGGCATCCACTCTGGGCGCGCCGTGATTGGAAAGAGCGCGCCTTCACCGTGGGCATCGGCGGCCCGGTGGGATCCGGCCGCTTGAAGCAAGCCGTCGCGGTTTTTCTTGGGGAAGCCGTGGGAACCCTTCCAGCCCGATTGCAATCCACTGCTTTTTCCCATGCCCAAAAGCCGGAAAGCAGTGGTTGGGGTGCTGGTTTGGGATCCTTCGGATTTTCTTTAACCGACCCGGTTAACATGATTCCCAAAAGAAGCCCCGAATCAAATTGCTGTGAATCTGAATTAGACATGGACCTTTGCCTGGGTATTTAGACCTTTCGAGCTACTGTGGAAGATGACTCTTTCCTTAAAACTGTGGGCCAAAGATCAGAAAGACCAAGCCAGATGAAAGCAATTGCCCTCCCACCAACTCACATGGAACCTGACGTTCCAGGGGTCCTGGAAGACAAATTTCTTTTTAAAGGGACCCTTTGTCAGGTTGCATGTTACTTGTTTTGATGGTAAAACCATGATAAACCCTGCTTCAGGTTCATTGGGAATGCTCCAAGCCCAATTCTCGTGCGCTCCTCTGTGCTTGGGGGTCTTCGGCCGGGGGCATTTCTGGCGTCTCGAAACATGTTTTCACATTATTCGGGCTGAATAGTTTGAACAGAGTCAGGACCTGCTGCGGATGGACGAAATCCTGCACCACTTTGAAACCATGGAAAATCACTGTTCATGTTTACAGGGGAAGCCTCATTCCAGTGGTTTCTTAGGTGGTGCAGGATTCCGTGCATCCACAGTATTATGTTCTGACAGAAAATCGTATGTTCTGATACTGCGCAAATTATTTGAAGATGCTTGGACCTTCCTGCATGCTCAAAATGTCGGCCTTTCGCTACGAATTGCCGTTTGGGGCAACCTGGCTCTTGTTTTTTGCCTGCGGCCTTTTGTTGTTCAACTTGGGTGTTAAGTGCAATCTCCCCGAACCTACAGGTGAAGACATCCGACCAACAGGCGAACATTCCCGACCGCAGCGCAAACAAATATTACGCCGGCGATGATTCGCCCAAAAACACATGTTTTCACGCCAGCGACGAAAAATACGTGCTTTTTGGCCAACACCTAAAACTTTTGATCCCCGGAAGGTCCAGGTGTAAATTGGCATGGGAATGGAACATCCACTTTGGGTTTTCTGTTGACGGACGAAAAATCCCTCATCTAGGATGGATGAAGCTCTGCAAAGATTGGGATAAACCACTGAAACACAGCTGGTGCGAAGTGGATGTTGTACATCCACTTGCTCCCTCTAAGATTTCTTCACGTGCATCCATGTTCGGCGGCCTCCAGGGTCCCCGGTTGCTTGGGGGTAGGCCGCCGCCCTTTTGAAAAGGTAGGGTTGAATAATTGCACAAGTGGGAATGACTGGATTTGGGGTTAAACTGCCCCACATCCGCGTTCTATTCATTTTGGTCCTTAAAGTCCCTTTCTTCCGACAGCTATTGAAAGGGGAGAAGGGCTTGTTCAGGAGTTTGGTAGTCCTCCACCTGGGCGTTCCACACTTATTTGTGAGAGGACCTCTTTTCCAAGTTCGATGTTAGCTTGCGGACGAAACAGGACAAATGCGGGAAATCATGGATGAGCTCACGGGGTACAAGGCAACAGGAAACAGGAGACACCGGTGCTGCCGACCAAGTAGTTTGAAGCAGGAGGCCATTCTTGCCCAAGGACAAGCCATGATCCGCTGTGAAACTCAGCCTCTCAGGACTTCGCAAGCCTTTGGTTCAGGTCTGAATCGAGTGACCAAATCATATTGTGGATGGTTGCGAAATCCATTTCGCACATTCCCTAAGAAACCCTGGAATGATGATTCCCCTGTAAATACCGACAAACAATGGTTGCAACCATGGTTTCAAAGTGGTGCAGGATTTCGTCCATCCACAGTAACGATAGATTGCAAGGAGTCCTTTCGCCTTTCCATCAGGCAAGCTACCGTTTCGATCGGATCGAATGGGAGCACGGTGAAATACAATGTCGTACTCGGAGGTCCATGCGTTTCTTGCAGCATTGTGCCGTTCTGGCATGGCTTGCCCGCCTCGGTTCGGATAATTCCAAATTGGGTAAGCCCAGTGAGCTCCATTTGGAAGGCTTGCCGCGGCTTACCCCAGGAGGCAAGTGAGCTCCATTTGGAAGGCTTACCCCAGAAGAAGCTACCAGGAGTTTCTTTTTTTTTGGTTAATGGCCCTATTTTTACGAGGCAGACAATTGCTACCAGGAGGTTCTTCGAGGCGGTTGTTCCATAGCGATCCGTGAGGCAAGACCGCGCTGACGCTTCAGCTCTGCCGGGCGCTGCAGCAGAGGCAAGGCGGTGTGGGGCGTGGCTCGGAGTGGGTGCCGCTTTTGGTCAAACCTTTCCTAGCACCCACTACTTTTTGGACAGTAATGTTTGCCCCATGTTCATCAGCCCACGTTTATGAATAGGGGGGGCTGTTCCCCTCTAAAAGTGAGGATTTCCGTCTCTAAAGCCAGAGGCGCCCCCCCTATCAATCAACTGCGGTTTATGAATATGTGGTCAACATTACCAAAAGGGGCAGTTTGGAAAGAACATGCCATTTTTGGGGGGAGTTGCGTTTGAGCTAGTTGTTTTTGAGTGAAACCAAAAGGCAACCCAAGAGTGAATAGTATTCCAATAGCGTGACCCTGATCATACCCGCAAAGGGATGGTCACCCTTCACCTGTTTCTTTCAAGCGGGTTGGTCCATTTCTGAGAATCTCCAGTCGTCCTTTGGTGGGGTTCTGCCTTCCAGCTTTCCGGATTGCTATTTGCAGGCTTGGGGTGATCCATCCCGGCTCCGCTCACGTTCGGCTAGAGCATGTGCGCGAATGGCAACTGCAATCAGTTGCACTCTGCACTCAGACGCGGCTGCACGAAACCTAAAAGGCACCATGCAGAGGAATTTGGGTTTGTTTGTTTTGTTCGGGCACCCCCTTTTGGTTTCCAAGGAAAACCACGAAGTTTGGGGGTCTCCTCTATTTCGAGACAAACCCATGTTCCTTGGATCAAGTTTTCCAGAGTCTCCAATTCTGAGTTCTTCCTGGTCATCAAGGTGCTTGCTTCAAGCTTTTGAATTGAAGTTCGTGGAACATTTATATGGGTCTGGTGTTTGTTTGTTTTTGTTGGTACCGATGATGTTTGGTTTTAAAGAGAAATTAGCAGGGATCTCAGTATTTTGGTGGGTCCCCTAAACAAGACACACCCATATTTCCGCGGTGTGCAATTCTAGTTGCCCAAGCTTGATGCCGGGCTCATGGGCCGTCGCTCAGAGCTCACAGGCCGACCAATAATTGCCTAGTGGCACCCTGTCTCAGGGAACCCCTGGTTGGCGCTTTGGGTTGGTGGAGTGTGTAATTAACTTGAACCCCTGGCTTGTGTACAGGGTAACTGGCCGTGCCTTAACCAACGGTACCATTTTGGGGTAGGTGCACCACCCATTTGAGAACCTATTTTAGTGGGGATTGGGATATTCACTGGGGGCACGGGGCTTTGACCCATGGCCAAATGGGAGCCGCCCGCTTTTTTCCTCCGCTGGACAGGGCTCTGAGTGCTTTGTGGCCTTTGTGAGGTGTAATATGGCGGTGGTGACCAATGACATCTTCACCCGAGAGGACGCCGAGCCGCCCGGCGAAGGTGTTTTGTTTTTTTGTTTTGCGGATGGGGTCGAAAGGTGCCACACCCGCTTTGGGCGTATCTCAAAGAGCGGACCCCCAAATGGAGGAGTCTCCCCATGGCTTCCTTCTGAAACAAATGCCCCTGGCTAAGCCTCAAATTGGTGGCTTGGGGATTTGAAATACTGGATTTCTTTTAGAGGTGAGGGAACCTACCAAGCCACCAATCCAAACCGCCCATTAGTTGGGAGCTGACTCAGCTTCTTGATATTTGGTGGTTTGGATTGTCCTGTGCACCAGGCTTCGAATCCCAAACCGCCGGGCTCCAAACCACCAAAACGCGTGGGAAAAGCCCGAGTTGGGCTTACGTGTTTTGCTTTTTTTGTTGTGTGTTTTCTTGTGCTTTTTGTTTTTGGGTCGGGGGGGAGGGAAGGTGCCCAACTGAAAAGCCCCGTTTTGAGTGCTCCGTGCCCACCTTCCCCCCCAGACCCACGGCACTCGCGACCCCGCGCGTTCGCGCGCCTCCGGCTTTCGCGGAGGTTTCTGAGCCGCAACGAGGCCTTGCCGGCGGATCGGATCCGAGCGGCCGGGGGCCGAAGCCAGGGCCGGAGCCGGGGCTCGGAGGGGGAGGAGACGAGGGGACCTTGGTGCCTCGGGACAAGAAGTCGAAGATATGTCCAGGGAGGGATTTTTTCCATGCATCTCAATCTCCCTTAAACCCGACAGAGGAGCAACAAACCTATTCTTAAGCAAAGAAAAAGCCAAAGATGTGCCCAGTAAGAGATTTCCCTTGGGAGAAACCAAACATGTATGTGCGTGTCCATGCAGTGATAGATTTCATGTGTCCAGTGATGATTTTATCTTACACTTGACAGGGGAAGAAAGCAGTTGTTCTCCAGCGGATGGAATGTTTGGCCCAAAAGGTGATGTTTGCAACAAGTCTCCATTTAAGTTTTTTACTTTCTAGGTGAGTTAGCTGGATGTGTAAAACTGGGGTCTGGTTAGTAGCTGGTTGCTGTTTAACCTTGATCAGACACATGTGTTGACTCGGCCCAGCCTGATGGTAGTTTTTATCCTCGGCATGGGGTTAAAAACGCCAAGCCTTCCTGGAGATCCCGGTAGCCCCTTGCTTTGGGTCACCACCCTCGGTCGAAAGCCGCAAGGGGCCATTGGGAGTGTCTCTTAAATTGGTGGACCCCTGTTGGGCTGAAAGGACGTACATTGGTTTGTATTGTCTAGTGCGAGAATAATCCCGCATGTAGGGGAAAACTCAGTAAACCGACTGCTCTAGGGACTGCTGTGGCTCAGAAACACATTGCATTTTTCACCCCCCCCTCCTCCACAAGTTTCCTTACACTCCAAAAGTCTGTGACTGAAACACGGGGCATTTGTCCCCCCCCCCTTCGCTGGCCGAAACTGCCTTAGGTGGAGACCGGAGGCTGCCCCCACGCCGCCATCCGCGAGGAAAGCGAGCTGGTGGATCGTATCTTTCTTTGGATTTGGTACCCCTTGCTGCTGGTTATGTAGGAAAACCACAAGGACAACCGACATGCATTTTGGGCGGTTCGAGTTCAAATCCTAATAAAAAAACATATACCCATGTGAGATCCACGCGAAGCCCTGGTGGCTGGGACGTTTCATTTTTTTCCGAAGGAATGGCCAATCCGGTGCTCCCCGACCGCCAGTAACCCCGCCGGTCGCATCATCTTTTGGTTGCCAGTATTGGTTGAGTTCCCGTTGCGTGAGGGGAGGTGATGACATCTGACGTTTTAGGTTGGAGCTGTTTTCTTTGTCTTTCGCGATGCTCAGTCCGCCGTGCGTTTCAGGAAACGATTTGGCACCCAAGCCGTCCTGGATTCTTGAAATGCCTTTTGTGCGTTGGATGAGCTTGCTCACGAGGTTTTGCAACTAGCATTTCATCAGTGGCTTTTTCATATGCCAGTGTAACGTCGAACGGTTCCATGTTCATTGGTGTCGGGGCACCCTTTAAATTCCGACGCACCCAGTTGATGGCTGGTCCGACTGGCCTCATCATTTTACCATGATCAAAGTCACCCCCGTAAGTGGTGGGTTAAAGGGAAACAACCCCATTTTCTGACTTTGAAAACGCCCAGAGACCGTCAAAATAAGGACACCAGTAGTGCCCTTTGACCCTTTTTTGGTTGGGAGGGTTCCCCTAAAATAGACAAAACCGGAAAAAACACAAGAAGAAAAAAAACAAAACGGTAGCAACTGATTCTAAGCTCCTCTATTGGGCCCAGCGGATCCGACCAAAAACCTCAGGACGTGAGCTCCAACTTGGCGGCCTGCGAGGCGCTCACGGAGCAGCACCGCGCGCCTCCCTCGGCGAGCGAAGAGCGGGGCGCGAATCTTCGGGCTGCGCGAAACGGGCTGCGCGAGAGGTGTTTCTCTATACATGTACATGTATATATATATATGTACATATATATATATATATAATATGTATATTTATGTATGTATACATTATAAGGTACACATATTTGTATATATGTATGTATATAGATATATTATGAATAAGGTACATATATGTATTGAGCAAAACACGGGGTGTCTTTTGTTTAAGCAAGAACACCTTGGGCTTCATTGCGTTAGCCTGTCGGGTGAATCCAAGCGGATGGGTTACTTTTTCTGCGTCCCTCATGGGTTTCTTTGGGGAAGCAGCGCGGTCGACCTTGATTGGGAAGAAGGGGCTGTGGTAGAAAACCATTTGGGTGGTACAGTGCTCGAATCAAACTTTTTTCGGCCGACCCACGGAAGTGACTCTAGACCAATGTCCCTATCTGGTGAACCTACTGCAGTTTGTTGTTCTCCCTTCAGTGAACTTTCAGGCGCGTCCAAAGCAGGCCCCAGATGTTGCAGTCCATTCCACTTTCAGTGGATCTACCCGGGGTTCTCCAAGTTCTTGCCTAGAAAACTTCCGTGGGCCCGCTTTTTGTGCGTGCACATGTGCCGCGCGGCCTAGGTGCAGCTGGTACTGTGCGAGAGCGGGGGGGACAATCTCGCAGCCAACTTCTCGCGGGAGCTGGCAGATTACACCATCTATGTGCCCAGACTTGGGTTTGGCTCGCTAGGGGAGGCCGGACACCTGTCTCCAGATGATACAGCGGTTGGGCTTTGGCATCCCCGTAAAATTAAAGGAACATTTCAACGTAGCATTTCCAGACTGTTGTGCACTGTCTCTTGCTGGTTCCATGAGGGAAGGAATGGGTGAATGACCAATCCTCGGTGTTCTCCAAGCTACGTGGCCAGACTTCAAGAAACCTTGCTGGCAAGAGCCAAGGAATCAATAGCATGTTGGAATGAACCTACGGAATGAAGGGATCACCATCAAAGACGGAAGGAGCCCACAAAAGCGTATTTTTTCAGAGGAATGCCCTTTTAGGGTGCCCTTTCTTTTGAAGTCCATGTGAATCTGCAGGGGCTTACACAGAATCCGCCTGCTTCGTGGCGAGCTCGATTCGGGGGCCGTCAGAATCAATCAAGGATCTGGAGAATGAACCTGGGGATTTCGCAAAGCACACATACGTGACCTTCGCAGACTTAGGCAACCCATCTGTTGCCGGTTCAAAGCGCAACAAGTCAGGAGTGAATGAATGAACCAACCCTGTCCATCTACGCCGAACTCGTGGCACTGATTCTTAGTGGATCTTGAGAATGAATGAAAGGGCGCGAGGAAACCGGCGGTGTTTCTAGGGGTCATTCCCAGCAGGCTTACCACGTGGCATAGTCAAAAGACCGGTTCCGTGGGGCTGGTAGGGCTTGTCATCGACCGCAAACAAGGGGTTTTAGACAGCCCATGTGAAGGTTCCGACTAAGGGAAACATGGCCCACAGTGGGAGTTTGATCATGGTTGCCCTTTGCCATTACACCATCTTAGGGCAACTCGACTAAGACTTAAAGACATGGTTTGGTGCACAGAGCTTTTCTTTCGAAAGAACGGTAGTTTGCTAAAAGAGGCCTGCGCACTTTTCTTGTTTGTTGTTTTCTGGCGGAGCCACAGTCTGGTTGATTTAACGGGCAAGCCGAAAAGGAAGAATCCTTGCCCGACTTAGCACTAAACTCAGAACAAACTAAGCGGGAACCTGAATGAGGGTCGTTTTGGTGGAAGATCATCTTCAAGGGGATCCCCTTCAGGTTGCATATGTTTTGTACGAGGGTGACCTGTTCCTTGTGGATTTCCTTCATTTAACCAGCAAATCAGTGGGGATCGGACCAGTTCGACCAAGGTGATTGACGTGGCCGGAGGGGACAAGGCGTGCGACGTCAAGCGAGAAGAAGATCTGAGGGGCCGCCCATGTAAGGTTTGGTCAACATTTAGCCAGTCTTTGGTTCATTCGGGAGGGACATGGGGGTCAATTCAATGTCCCACAGAATGAAGGGGGGCCTACACAGTTTTTCCGTGTCCTGTTGTCCTGTTGGGGAAGCAAGTCATTTTGTTTGGGATTCATATGTGTTGAAGGAAGGCTTTCCCAGTGAAGTCAGGACACCCACCGGAGGAATTCGGATGGTGCAGTATAGCATGTAATACACTTTGCAAAGCCCCAGAAGCCGTGCAAGTTCCTGCTTCTGTCCAGCCACTATGGCACTTAGCCCGTGCGTATGTTGCACACATAACAGGTTCTTAAGGCCACTTCTGAGCAAGTAGCTTGCTTTTGAGCGTGCTCCATTCGGGCACCTGGAATGTTGACAAGGCAGTCAAAACATGACCGGGCCGAGAAAATCACGGCATCTACCGAGCAACGTGAAAGTCCAGGTGCTTCCTGACGTTGACTCAGAGGAGCAATGCGTTTTTTTCTCCCACAACTTGGCACACCACTTCTTTGGCTGAGCCTCCAGAACTGAGTACCTCAGCTTCTTGGAGCAAGCTAAACAGGTTTGTTTGAGAGATTGCGGCTAGGTTTCGACAGGAGTTGAATAGTACACACCCATCCAGCTGGTTTTGGTTTTCGGGCTCCGTGGAGATAGAAAGGGATTGCTGCATTTTCCAGATTCCAAAATCGGAGGAGCGATTTGGGTTGATCTAGGCGAAGCCCTCCAAATGAGGTGTTCTAGCAGGATCCCTAGAGGTGGTTGTCCTTTTTGGCTTCCCTTCCATTCTCCCTGACTCAGCCTCGAACGCTTTGTATCATCGCGCCTTTTCAAGATCTTTAACGCCTCAATGTTGCGTCTTGAGTTGCAGTTGAAGGCATGCTTTCCTTGTTGGAGTTGAACAGCATCCCCTTTTCATCCAAAGTAGGAACCCCTGCAATAGAGCACGGTGGCCCAAATCTGTTTGGGTGCTGGGCAACATGACAGACAGGGGCAAGGAATGGATGGCGAGTTTTGCGCGCAAACCAAGGAGCAAATCAGCTTAGAGATCCCTTGGCACTTTTTTTTAGGGGGGGAGGGGGGGTGTAAAAGGGGGACCCTGTGGGTCAAGTTCAGAGAGTTGAGGGATTCTTCGAGGACCCAACCGCCCCCTTTCCCAGCTATCCCCCTCTGATATGTACAACCAAAAAGCGAGACACCAAAAAACATGGTAGTGTTCCTCTTGGCTTCCGTTTATAGGAGCCATCCCACGATTCGATCAGCAGGTTTGGCTTTTTCCCTGTAAGGATGTTTGGTTTCTATTGATCTGAGCCAACCCCAAGCACCCTCAAGACATGACAACCAGCTAAGGCCTTGGTCGAGTCTCCTTCCCGCCAGGTGCCCCGGAAGGGTGGCCCAGGCATCACCCAGTCGGACCTGCTGGTGATCAACAAGGCGAAGACGCGCTGGCAATCCAACCGCGAAAGCTGGGAGGGAGGGTTGGGTTTGGAGGGTTGTGTTTGGAGGGAGGGTTGGGGTTGGAGGGTTGGGTTCGGAGGGTTGGGTGGGTTTGGAGAGGAGGGGGAGGGATAGGGTTTGGTGGGAAGGGGGGAAGGATTGGGATCTCCACTGGCAAGGTTGGGATTTCTTTTTTTCTAACAGTCTGGAAGGGCCAAAGCCCCAACGACAATTCCCGATACAAATTGTTTGTGTGGGTACGGCCACCAGCCGCTAGTGCCCTGTGCATTTGGAAGCTAAAAGCAGGTAGGTCAACAATGGTTGTTGAAGCATTCTAAAACATCGCCCAACCCCGTGATAAATAGCCCATAGATTTGTAGTTGGGGACACCAAAGAGGGAATGGATGTTTGTTTGAAATTTACAACCCTCTATTTGTGATTAGTGTCGATCCGATTAATTCATCTCTTGGAGTACTAGGGGGCTGTCCCCCCCCAAAAAAGAAGAGAAGAAAAGAGTTTTCTCTTTGAAATGGGTTGCGCTTCTCAATAAAATTGAATCAAGGGTCTATTCCTCCTGGATTTCAACTTTCAAAGGTGAAATGTTGAGGCATTGAGTATTTGGGTGCATGAAAATCGCGTTGGTCAAGCCCCGGTCCCCGGTGCAAGGGAACCTGGGCTCTGGGCAGTTCTGAGCCTGTGCCTTCGCTATTTTCAATTTGGCTTGTCAGCGGATAGCTTTTGATCACTTTCAGCGGGAATCAAACCAAGGTGCCGACGTGCCAAGGGTTGGGACCCCATGCTTCAGTTCATTGATCCCCCTACATGGAATTGGGGGAAGGGGTACGGGAGCTGAATGCCGTTTAAGAAATTGAAGCCACACTCCCTGCCCCTTATGTTAATGGGGGGGGGGGAATCTTGGGGTCTTCTCACGCCGAGACTCGGGTTAGCGGGTGCCAAGTGCCTAAAGTGACAGCCTTCCCAAAAATATGTTCACCGGCTGGAAAACGAGTTCGGGGGCACCCCTCAAAAGCTATTTTCATCAGCTGTTCCGGGACAGAATTCCCCAAAGTTGTTTTCACCGGCTGGAAAACGAGTTCCGGGACAGAATTCCCCAAAGTTATTTTCACCGGCTGACGAGTTCGGGGACAGAATCCCCCAAAGGTATTTTCACCGGCTGGAAAACGAGTTCCGGGACAGAATTTCCCAAAGTTATTTTCACCGTGGGAAGGTCGACCCAGTGATCAGCCCAAATGCGTGTGTCTTTTGTTGAGGGTACCGTTTTTGTATTGCTTGAAAGGGAGAAAACGAGAACCAGCAATTTGGTGGTTCCCCCCTGAAAAACAGACACCCAAATAGAGTGCTTCCCACGCCAAAGTCCGGATTCCCTCTTGAGGGACCACCCGCCACTACTGGTGGATATATCCTGAGTTCCCATCGCTCCCTACCTGAAGCCAAGAAAATCGCACGATAGCTTCGTCCCACGGGTCCCTATCCGGAACATGCCCAATCCAGGGGATCGCCAGTGAGAAAGCGAAGCTTTTAGGTTGGTTTTGTGTGCAGTATCTCACTTCCGCAGTTTTCGGTCCGAAGTTGGGAAGAGCAGACCCAGCGAGCAAGAGTCACACTTTTTTTGACCGATCCACTCAAGCACTTTGTGCTGAGCAACCTCAAGTTACTTGTCTTGCTGGTGCTCAGCAGGGTATAAGAATTAGAATGACCTCCAGGAAAAAAAAGAAGAGAAAAAAAACATCCTTAACTGGTGGTTTCCTTTCAGGGGGCCAAAGCCTGGGCTCCCCAGGCTCATTCCATGTCTCGTTCCAGTCGAGATATCGGGAGCCAGGTGGACCTGGCTGTCGCGGTGGGCCTGGGACTCACAGCCGGACCTTTCATGGCTTTCCCCGCGGCTGAAGAAAACCGGGGGGCAGCGAAACGGCGTTTTTGGGCTGCGGAAAATTGGGAAACAGGTTTTTTTCGGGCTGCGGATTTTTGTTGGTCGCGTTTGGCTGAGACGTTTTAAAAAAGTAAAAAATGCCGATCAAGTCGAATCATTTGTCCATCTCGGGCAACCCGAGGGCTCGAGGGCCATGTGTTTCACCAAGCCGGAGCGGGGCTGAGCTGGAGCGGACTCCCTTTGAAAGGCCTAAGGTTCTCTAAGCTTCAGCAAGGCCCTACAAGGCTGGAACAGCCCGGGGATGCGTCACTTTTTGTTGGATGATGTTTGCAACGGGGATTTGAATCAGGTCATTCCTTTGACTCTTTTCCGGGGATGTCAAAGTCAGCTACAGTTACCGGGGTTGCTTCCCTTTAACCTAATTAGGGGTGACTTGGATGATTGCAAAATAGTGAGGCCGGCTTAAGGAACCCAGTTTTGTCGAATGCGTGACAATGGAATATCTCCACAGGGTTGCCTGCCGACACACACACACACACACGACTTACATGTTGCGTTCTGATAGTGGAAGCTCGCCGCAATGGCGACAACCGCAGACAAGATGCACGTTTTGTTTGCCATTCCGGCCCCCGGTGTTTCTTTCTTTGGTGGGTCAAGTAAGGGCCTTGTCTTTCCTGCCATGCCTTTCCCCCTTCTCTTGTTGGTCAGGCAAGACGTGCTGGTTCTTGTCTCTTTCTGCCAGACTTAGAGGCAGATCACAGCCCCAAATGGTCTTAGCTGGCCCGAAGTCGGAATCCCAGATTCATAAATCCCTCGAAGTACCTTTGGAGGGGCCCCTAGTCAATGAGACCAAATTATTCATTTGCGGTCAGGAGAACCAAGCATGGAACTTGAAAGTGGTTCCTTGGACAAGTTTCCCTTAGCCCTCTTTCGAGTTCCATTTGTTTGTCGGAGGTTACAGTCGTCCCTTGTGCATTGCTCAAGGGAGGTACCCTGAAAGGCACCGGTCGGAGTTAAAGCTCCCCTGGCCAGTGTCAAAGGCGTGTTCCGCCATCCATGGGATGATCGTGCAGGCATCCACGTGGAACATGGTTAAGCGTATTTTGCTGGCGAAACGACAACAGGATACGTAGTTCCTTTTTGCTTTCCCTTTACAGCCGCCCGAAGAACAAGTCTGAAAAAGACACCCGCGTGTGAAGATACGAAGGTTGAGCTGATTTTGTTTGAGGCATTGTTCGCTTTGTTTCATCTAGTTTTCCGCTCAACGCGCTTGTCAAGAGCCCCAACTGGGTTCCCCACGTCAAGGAAAGGTAGCAAACGCACTTTGCATTTGCATTTGAAATGAATTGTCAGGTGCTCAGTTCATGACCGGTACTGTGTTGAGTTGGTTTTCAAGTGTAACCTCGTTTTTTTGTTTGTGATTGAATGAGAGGCGTTAGCTGTGACCATTCCGCTTGAAAACCAGCCAGGGGTTGGGTGAGCTCCTGGACTTTACAACCTTTTGAGAAGACAATTTGAGTGCAAAATGTGACATAAACAATTGGACTTTTTGTTGGGCCAATCCACTCGTTCGGAAGTGAGTCAACCAATCAACCCATACCTCCCCTTATCGCACCGATTTGGGGTTTTCGACCCCAAATCGCTTTCGGCTGTTGGGAAAATTCCATAAAACCAATAAAACCAACCCAAAAAACAATAAATCCAATAAATCCAACCCAAAAACCCATAAACAAATGAAAAATAAATAAAACCAAACTCATGAACCCACAAACCAAACCAAATCAACGTGCCAATAAACCAATAAAACCAAACCAAACCGCGCTCGCCCGCGCGAATCGCCAACCCGACACCCGCCTTTGAGGCGCGGACTTGGAGGTGATGCGCAGGGACGCGGAGAAGATGAGGGGCGCTGGGCCGACCATATTCGCGGCCCGGGGGCCTTGCCGCATTTTGTCTTCCTTTTTGTGTGTGTGTGTGTTGTTCTTGTTTTTTGTTTTGTGTGTGTGTGTGTTGTTCTTGTTTTTTTTTGTGTGTGTGTGTTGTTCTTGTTTTTTGTTGTTTTTTTAGTGTGTGTGTGTTTTTGTTTTTTGTTGGTGTGTGTGTGTGTGTGTGTTTTCTTTTGCTTGTTTGTGTTGTTCTGGTGTTTTTGTTTCTCGTGTTTTTGATTTTGTGCTTTTCTTTTCTATTGTTGTTGTTTTGTTTCTTTTCCGGGGGTGGTGGGGGGTGGCCACATCCATAATTATCGGTTGATTGGCATTTGGAGGGTTAACAAATATCCCCTTTCGGAGCCTTCTTGAAGCAAATCAGGTGGGTGGGCACCTGCTCCAGCCAGTCCGGCGTGACTCCCTGAAGGAAATCGCCTTCGGTGTCAGTGCTCCTAAGCCCGTGTTCCGTGCAGAAAAGAACATATGCTCATCAACCCCGCAAGCTACAAAGCAATAGACACTGCTGCACAAGGCTCATGGCACCAGGCCAAACAGCGCTGCATGCGGGGCACGCGGGGCATGCGGGGAGCGTTAGGAAAGCAAAGCTTCGCAACGGGCGAGATGCAGCGTTGGCAGCCAGAACAATCGAACGACACGAAGTGCGGATCATCCAAAGCTCGGAAGGATCCGTTTCTTGCCATGGACCCCTTCATATTGCAGCAAACGCTGAACATGATTCCAGTTGCGGTTCCATCAAGGTCTCGTTTTTTTTTTGAGGGCTCGAATTGGGACCCCCCTAAGCCGGCCATTTCCCCTGGCTGGAGTCTTCAGCCCTGAAGCAGGACATGCGCTCGTTTTAGGAGTGACCCTTGTCAAGGAATATTGGCGACTCCAAGTGGCTTTGATCAGGGCCAAGTCAGCATCAGTTTCTCAAAATCTTCTTCGGCCCGGAAAGTTCTGAGCTCCGAGGCAGTGAAACATGGCAAGGGCGTTCCGGAGATCGTAGGCACGGCGGTTGATCGCAAGTGGACCAACCTGGGTGGAAATTCTCATGGCATCGGGTTATGTAAGCCTCAAGCTTTTGGGTGTGTCTTGAGGGCACTATTTTCGGCTGATTCTCAGTGAAGGCAAAGGGGCACCTTGCTTTCAGGCCTTTGACTTTAAGACGTGCCCTGGCGCGTCTTGAGGCGTTGCCCTGCTTGAGAAAACCTTGGCTTTGCACGCCATGGTCATGTGGGCTGGGGGGGGGAGGGAGGGGGAGGGGGAGGGAGCCCAAATCAAATAAGCCTTATTAAGCCCGTAATAAAGGCCGTATTTGGGGCTTATTTGGGCCCTCCCCCCCTCCCTCCCCCCCAGCCCCCATGACATGGATACAGCTTCCTGTTACATCCAAGGTCAGCTTCCCGCATTGGCCACGACTTGCGATGAGTCGCTGGAAAGCACGTCCGAAAGTTCGGGCGTGCGGCAGGTCACATCTTATCTGCACTGGAGCTGGCAACCGGACACAAGGTCGAGTAAGGAGCTCTGGCCTCAGTAAGCATGTTTCACTGGTTTCTATGTCTGATTTTGGATACATGGATAGAATGTCTATTGATTCTGCGGGTTGCGTGGGCTGATGCCCTTGCACTTGTGAAAGGATTGATTGCCTTGCGCTTTCGAAGGCTTGATTTTACGGTTTGAAGGCTTGATTGCATTGCCCATCCAAAGCCTCCTTTGGGTATGTCTTTGTTGGAGGCTACCCTCGTGTTCGTGGTGTTTGAAGGGAAACAAAAGGGAACGCCAAATTTCGGGCGGTCTCCTGAAAAGAGGGCGCACCCATTTTGGGAAGACACCCAAGATGCCCTCGCGCATCTGAGGTGCCTTTAGGCCTGAACGACCTGAGCTGCGCTTCGTTTCGCAAGCGGGTCCAGCTGCGTTCGTTATTTGAAGATGCCTCCTTGTTGGAGAGTGCCTTAGAGCAAAAACTGCGAAAGAGAATGCCATCAGTTCTACGGGATCACTTGAGGAACCTAGTACCTAGATAAATCCAAGATTGATTCAGAGACATAGCAAGAGCCATGAACAGGTCATGACTCTTGGTTTTCAATGGCCCTCGATGGCCCCCAACTGGGCAATGGCGTTTGTGGCTTTCGCTGGCCGGCCACGTCGCAAGACCCGCTTGAGCTCCACGTTTCCCATCTCTCCGCGGAGAGGGTGCGCAGCTCGCTGGATTCCAGGCCAAGCTTGTCTTTTTTCGCTGTTGCCAGGTTCCGGATCTGAAAACGAGATATCCGGGCCAAAAGAAAAGGAGCTCCAGTTCTTTCTTCGAGCTACTCTTTGTTTGCATGTCGGGCTGGTTGCAATGTGGACGAACTCTTGCCGCGCCATCCAAGCCACACGAGCTTGCAGACACCGCTTCACTACATGAACATGCC